TACAGAATTATATGAACATGTTTGCTAATGATGCTGAGATAATAGGAAGGATAAGCAAACTTAGATGATTGTTATGCCCTTCAAGAAGACCTGGACAAAATAAGTATATGGAGCACCACTTCGCAAATGGAATTTAATGTGAATGAATGCCATGTTATGATATGTGGAATTGGAGAACATACACCCCACACAACCTATAAATTATGTGAGGAATCTTTAACCCTTAAAGTGCGCATCACGTCATATGACGTGCTGGACGTTGTTCCAGTCAACTGCGCATCACGTCATATGATGTGTTGGAGTACTACGCAAGATTTAAACAGCCCGCGGATACACAGGGTTCACCACACCTTCATCAGGGCTCTTGTAAACAGACGCCATTTTAAAAAAAAATCGTGGGCCAAACTCCCGGGTGTTATTGGCCTCAGTATTGAGTGAGCAACCAAGCCTGACGCACGCAGCATGAGCTAACAGCACTGCTGTTCAGCTTGTGACCACAGCATCGCCTAAAAATGCCAAATTATACTTGTTCATGCTATTATGTAGCGATGACATTATTACAGAAGACCCCTGACTGTGGTAAAACTGACCAGGGTTCTGATAATAGCAGGATTGTGGTGATATTTAGCGCTGTGCGCCATGGAGGGAGGAGTAATGCTGTGGGAGGGAGGGTGGTGGTGATGTCTTTTGACTGTGTGTGGCCACCTTTTATTGACTGCACTCAGCATACCAGCTTAGTGGTTCGCTATGGTGAACACAAATGTAGATACTTATATATAACGTGTGTATAGAGGGTATAAACAGCAAGAGAAGGTTTGGAGCCGCCATTTTGGTGAGGGCGGTGGCGTCGTCTGCACGACGCCACCGTGCAGACGACGGTGTTGTTTACTGGTTACCACAATGGTCTTTGGGCACCATACCAGTTTATTTGTACAAGTATGGTGAATAAAACAGGTAGATATTTATACATAATGTGTGTATATAGCGTAATAACACCACACAGTATTGTTGGAGGAGAAATATTAGTGCGACTGGCCTTGAGGGCAGCCGCCGATCAGCTGACTGTGTGAGTAGCCACATCTTTGTGCCTTTACTCACCATACAAGGTTAGATGTACAGTTATGGTGAACAAAACATGTAGATACTTATATATAACGTCTGTATATAGTGAATTATAGCAAAAACATTATTGTGGGAGGAGAATGTGGGTGAGTCAGATGACTGGAGGGAGGGCGTGAGTGGCTGGCTGGTAAACGGCGGTCACGCCTCGTTACTTTTTGACTCATAATAGCTACTTAGTGGTTCATTATAGTGAACAAAACATGCAGATACTTATATATAACCTGTGCTTATAATGTAATAACCGACAAAGTATTTGTTCACTGATTGATGAACATAGTTGAATATAATCATAATCATAGAAACAATCTCACTCCACAAATTTTCTTGTGTCAATTACATTTACAAAATCCTGTTCTTAAATGCAAATCCTGCTCTGAAACTCTCCCTGGACAGATGTAATAGGACCCATTATCACCACACCAGAAATAAATATCTCTTTGATATCCCCAGAGTCAAACTTAATCTGTGTAAACACTCTATGCAAATAAAGGGACCCAGTCTATGGAACTCACTCCCTAATGAATTGAAAAGCTGTCCAACTTTTGCGTCATTCAAAAACAAAACTAAAAAGTACCCAATTTAATCTTCATAGTTTTTTACCTTGTTGCTTTAAAATTGCACTGTATTTATTGCTACCAAATCTCCCTACCTTTATGTACCCAATCCGAACATCTTTACCATTGTGATCATTGCTGTCTTCTTATATGTGCTATCAATCTGCTGTACGGTGTCTTTTTTTTTTTTTTTTTTTTTTTTTTTTTGAGATATATACAAGAGTTGTTACATTCTTGTACAGCCACTAGTACGCGTAGCGTTTCGGGCAAGTCCTTAATCCTATGGTCCCTGGAATACGATCCCCTGCCGCGAAGAATCGTTTTTTCATCCAAGTACACATTTTACTGTTGCGTTAAACAGAGGCTACAGTTAAGGAATTGCGCCCAGTAAATCCTCCCCGGCCAGGATACGAACCCATGACATAGCGCACGCGGAACGCCAGGCGAGTGTCTTACCACTACACCACGGAGACTTCAAATCTGTTAATCTTGTTTAAATTACCAATCAAGTTGTTAATGTAATCAACCAGAGCTTTAATATACTTACTATTCTCTCTCATCTCATTTTTTTTCTTGCAATGTATCTGTTATCATTTTATTAATTCTGCTAGAATTTACCTACTTAAAATTATGCTAGATTAAGGACCTGCCCGAAATGCTGCGCATACTATTGGCTTTACAAGATTGTAAATACTATGCTAAGTATTCTCTCTAATACAATGTACCTTCTTGTATATAAATAAATAAATAAATATATAAATAGATAGAAAACTATCACCTGAGGACCACATAAAGAACGTTGTGCGAGGAGCCAATGCTATGCTTTCTAACTTACCATTTAACAGTCTCCGTGGTGTAGTGGTAAGACACTCGCCTGGCGTTCCGCGAGCGCTATGTCATGGGTTCGTATCCTGGCCGGGGAGGATTTACTGGGCGCAATTCCTTAACTGTAGCCTCTGTTTAACGCAACAGTAAAATGTGTACTTGGATGAAAAAACGATTCTTCGCGGCAGGGGATCGTATTCCAGGGACCTGCCCGAAACGCTACGCGTACTAGTGGCTGTACAAGAATGTAACAACTCTTGTATATATCTCAAAAAAAAAAAAAAAAAAAACTTCAGAATTGCTTTTAAATACATGGATGGCGAAATACTAAAGAAATTGTTCACGACTTTTGTTAGGCCAAAGCTAGAATATGCAGCTGTTGTGTGGTGCCCATATCTTAAGAAGCACATCAACAAACTGGAACAGGTGCAAAGACATGCTACTAAGTGGCTCCCACAACTGAAGGGCAAGAGCTACGAGGAGAGGTTAGAGGCATTAAATATGCCAAAACTAGAAGACAGAAGAAAAAGAGGTGATATGATCACTACATACAAAATAGTAACAGGAATTGATAAAATTAATAGGGAAGATTTCCTGAGACCCGGAACTTCAAGAACAAGAGATCATAGATTTAAACTAGCTAAACACAGATGCCAAAGAAATATAACTAAATTCACTTTCGCAAACAGAGTGGTAGACGGTTTTAACAAGTTATGTGAGAAAGTGGTGGAGGCCAAGACCATCAGTAGTTTCAAAGCGTTATATGACAATGAGTGTTGGGAAGATGGGACACCACAAGCGTAGCTCTCATCCTGTAACTACACTTAGGTAATTACACATCCCACACACTGGAACGTCCCCGCTACCTCCTTTCCCCCCATCCCACTCCCTCCTCACTACCTCCATCTCTTCATCCCCCTCACACTGCCCCCCCCCCCCCACCAGCTGTAACCCCTCCCAGCCATATGGACAGAGTTAATACAGTTTGCTTCCTTGCTACCAGCTGATGGATCAGGAGGCAGACTCTCTGAGCACCTGACATTAAACTCTTATTATTTACTAACTGATTGTTTACCGCAAAAGTCTGATTGACTGTGAATGGCTGATTGACTGTAAATGCATGACTGACTGTAAATGCTTAACTGGTTGCTACCACAACTGTGAATGCTTGACTGCCTTTGGTTATGACTGCCTGTGACCGGTCTTGACTGTGAGTGCTTGACTGACCTGTTGTGACTAACTGACTGGTTCTGACTGGCTGCCACATAACAGAGGCAGTGAAGTGTGTGGAAAGGAAAATCTGGAACCAGTGATGCAGATATGACTGCACAGAAGGAGAGGAGGGGACAGTCCTTCTAAACACTCACCTCCTCCTCCTCACCTTCCCCATACACCAACACCGCTCCACCCTCCCTCCCTCCCTCCTCACCGTCTCCCATACCAACCTGTCCTCTTAAAAAGAACGTCGCTTATGGCCGTTTGCCTGTATGGCCGAATATGGACATAATTTGAAAATGAAAGATAAATGAAAATAAATTTGGGATTTTTTTTTCAACAACAGTAAGTTAAGGGTCCTCTGATAGGTTAGGTGGGCAGGAAATTCTCATAAAGTTTCAAAACGGTATGAAAAACGTTAATGGAAAGTTCCCTTTTCTAAGCTTGCCGAGTAAGTCGGACAACCCAAACATAAAGCGGAACAGAACGTCACTTTTGTAAGTCGATTTCATTTCAAATTACGTCCAAATTTGGCCATAGCGCGCATACGAACCAAAAGTGACGTTATTTTTAAGAGGACGAGCTGCCCATACACCAACAAGAGTCCTCAGATAAATGAGTGCTGATAAATGTTCACATTTTATTTATGCTTTATATTTATACCTGATTGTTTTGTGTATGAAAAATATGAGTAGTATTCTTTATGAAATGTATTTTTAAGTTAATATTTTTGGGTGTGTGGAACAAATTCAATTTACATTATTTCTTATGGGAAAATTCATTTTGGTTTACGAACCGTCTCTGGGAACAGATTAAATTCGTAAACAAAGGTACCAATGAACTTGGAAGTTGGATAACTGTTGTGGGTAGCATATTAGAGAAGGCCAGTAGCTGATGTAGGGAGCCCTGGATAAGCCTAACAGGCTTCCTGTCACCAACTACTGGAAACATAATATGAACCATATTTGTTAGCCTTACCATGTGGCTGCATTTCTCGGTGAATGGCAACACCTTGATCACTCACGCAGGGGCACTGTTAATTTAAACATGACCTTGTAACATTGGTGTTTAAGATTCCTTGCCTAGCTGTGCTGTGATCCGATAAGGTGTACACTATTACTATACTTTTGGAAGCAGCAACATAACACAGCTCAAGAATTCTGCCAACATCTAAAATCTATACCAATTTAAAGACATTCAGTAATGCATATTATATTTTGAGTATTAACATTAAAACATCAGTGTGCACATAAACCAGTCATCTACACCCTTTCCCTTTCTTACCATCTCCTTTAACAGTGAAGGAGAGAGGTGCCAAATGCCCAATGGGAGTTCGGGTATAAACAGCTTCTACAACCATGTCGTGATCTGCTATGTGCCACACAGCCACCTCCACTCCAACCTCACCGCCAACCCTTTCCTGTTGCAGAATAATTTGTTTTATTGGACACTGCATCTTTATTGTTGATGCCTTGTTTGCCAGCAACAATTACACATACATAATTATACTATAATCATATACTATAATTATACTATAATCATATATATTATATACTATAATAAGCGAATAATATTCGCTTATTGAAAAGATATTACAAGTCAGTGTGTTAAATGGTAAAATATTATTCTAGCATATAAATAAAGTTTAAGATTATAGTAGGACAAATTCAGTGCTTAAAAGTATAATTTCTGTCAAGTGCAATCAGGAGCAACTCCGATGTAAAAGAAAGTCATGAAGAGCATTTTCTTGATTCTTATCCCAGGCTGTCAAGAGAAGATATTCTTTCAATTAAGTCATATATGATGGATCTGAATTTACCTTACCTGAGGGCCACCAGCGACCTCGACAGGGAAGCCTATGGCTTGTCACAGATCCAAGCCCAATTATTCCTGAAGATTTTTTCTAGCTTAATTTTGAAGTGAAGTACCATCTTGGCGTTTATAGCTTTGATATACAATCCCATGGGTTTATTACTAAATGGGAAAAAATCTAGAATTGAATGCAATGACATGCCTCTTTCGGTCGTTCCCTGGAGCTAGGCGCATGGTTAACTTACCAACAAAAAAAGGGTCCCAGTAGTACAGTCGGGTTCGTTCTCGATGCACAATTGATAATTTTGGGTGAGAATCCCGGGCAGGACAGAAATGGTTGGGCACATTTCCTTTCACCTAATCCCGCTGTTCATCTAGCAGTGAGTTGGTACTCAGAAGTTAGTCAGCTTGTTGTGGGATTGCATCCTGGGCGGGGTCAGTAATTTGACCTTGGAGGGGACCTTGATAAAAGCCAAATGTGTATGAATACACTCTGGCTTCCTATCACTCTCCACAGTGAATTATTATTATTTTATTATAAACTAATCGTGCCATGCCAGGCCCTTGTTAGTCAATAAAGTCTACCAGAGACTGGAGACAGGAGAGAATATTATACAAATAATATACAGTAAACAAGATAAACTTCAGGAATATGGGAACACATGAATAAAAGGAAATCAATAATCACTGTCATGAAATAGCTGCTTAACAGTATTGCACCCCGGGCGTGCGCCCCGCGCATATGTGTGAAGTAGGCCTAGTGGTGCGGGCGAGCGCTTGGCGACACTAAATGTGTATACAGTACAGGCATACTTCAGTTTAAGAGTTTAATTGGTTCCTGGAGACGCCTCGTATTCCGAAAACTCGCATTCCGAAGCTAATTTCCCCATAAGAAATAAAGGGAAATGAATTAATCCGTTCCTGACTACCCCAAAAACCCCACATCAAACTAAATTTTTATACCTAGTTCATCTAAATAAACCTACAAAACTATGTTCAAGTTATTACTTACCTTGCTGTTGAATGCTGTAGGCGTATGGAAGATGGTGAGGAGGTGGGAGGAAGAGAGGAGTTACTGTTTGGAAGGGGAGTCCCCTTCCATTATCACGTCAGGCAGTGAGGACTTCACTGGTATGCACACTCTGCCACATTTTGCCTGCATACCACTAGGACTTGCTTGTTTTACTAAGAATTAGTCTAATGACACTTGTTTTGCCCTACATTTTAACACTTGTCTGTAGTAAGACATCACATTATCATTTAAAAGGTCAATGCAACGGCCTGCTACAGCTTTATCTGGGTGAGTTTTTTCAACAAAACTTTGCAGTTCTTCCCATACTTCACACATTTTCTTAATCAAGAAGGGACATCCTCTACTGCCTCTACTCACAGCTATTTTCTTAGGTTGAACCTTACCAATGGCTTTCTTGAGACCCATGGCAAGATATATAATGACAACTTTTATGCTCAAATGGCCAAAAAAAACGATAAAAAACTGTAAATCCTTGTGAAGAATTCAGGTGGGATAGTCACTGGACACGAGACACTTACCTGGTAAACTGAGGCGCGATCGCCATGCCACCACGCGCCAGTCGGCCTGTACACGTATCAACAAACTCGTGTCCCGAGGTAACCCTCGCCTTCCGAGACATATTTTTGGAGTAAATCCTGCTCGTCTTCCGAAAAACTCGCATACAGGGACACTCGCATTCCGAGGTACCACTGTACTTGTTTCAGTTTTCTCACCTTAATTCTCATGCTACGTCATTGGTTTTGGTATCAATGTGTTCGCAATTAAATTCCCAGCAGGTGTATATGCATATATTGTCCAAAAAGCCCAGTGTGACTCCCTTAGCAAAGCCTAAAGTTACCCATCAAAGAAAACCAATTATCACACCCGCAATTTAATGTGTATACTCGTTCAGTTTGATAACATCAATTTTCGTGTTACGTCGCTCATTTTGATATCAAACTGTTCACAATATAAAGGCGCATATTTTAAGACTAGTCCCATAATAATAGAGCAATAGCTGGAATTTTAACAAATATTTTAATTTTGGATCTCATCATCACAAAATTATTTATATATCTTTCCAGTGTTCTGATATAAAATTTTGTGATACATCTTTAATTTTAGTATCAAACTGTTTGCAATGTAAAGGCGTGCATTTTAAAACTAGTCCCATAATAATAGCACAATAAATAGAATTTTAACAAATATTTTAAAATTTTGACCAAAAACGTATTTATAATCTTTCAAGTGTTCTGACATCAAGTTTTGTGTTACATCTTTCATGCTGATATCAAATTGTGCGCACTCTAAAGGCACTCATTTTGAATCTATGCCGATGTCGATCGGATAGAAAATGAATTTTATACAAATATTTTTTGTATAGGACGTGAGCAGCGTCCAAAGTTAGGACACGAGAGAAAAAAAGTGGACACGAGGGGTGTCCAAAGAGAGCAATACTGTTAAGAAGAGCCCAAGAAAAAGGAAGGATGGGAACTGGGAGCCACTGAGGGGCCCAACAAAAACTAGCATTGGATGTAATGAAACACCATATTTTGGGTGAGCCCCAGAGGCTCCCTGGAGCTTATTGGGCTAATGTATGTTATATTAGACCATAACATTAACTACGGACTTCAGACCTACCAGGGATCAGCGCCAGAACCTGACCCCATCAGAGAGGTTTCAGGGAGCAATGGCCCTGGAAAACCCCCTTGTGGTTAGGGGTTTTCCTTATCTGCCATCAACCAGGGTTAGGCACCCAGAAAGGTAGGCATAACAAAACAAACTCCACATGGTAAGAAACTAAAACAAAAACCGAACAGAGAGGTAAAAACTCCCTATAATCCCAAGGAAACAAGCAAACAAGCAAACATCCCACTTTACTACCGCGCCGATTGTCCGCGCAGCCCTCCCCGCCCCGAGAGGGGGAGGGGAGGGGCCTTGGACCTCACTGCGCCGTCTGCCTAGCACCAGTTCGGAAGCTAAGCTTCAACAATGCAAAAAAAAAACACCGACCAGTGGGAGGGAGGGTTGCCATGAAGCTTCAGGGGCTCACCCAGAAAATAGCGTTTCATTACATTCAACACTAGTTTTCGGTGGGGAGCCCCTACGGCTCCCTGGAGCTTCATACCCAAAGAGAAGGAAAAGAAAGGGCTGACCTGGGAGGCGGCCACCACAAACTCTGCAAAGCGAAGTCAAGACAACAGGCAGCAACCTGCAACACAAGAACGCACAGGAGCAGATACGCTCACAAATAAAAGAGCTGCCAGGAACCTGTGCAACCCCCAAATCCATGTGCCTGAAATGAGCCTAAGACCTCACCAAACACAGCAGCAAAAGCTGCAAACGTCCGAACGGCATGGGCGCAAGGATAGACCGCAGGCTGGTAGACTTAAGAAAACTGCGGACGACCTGAGAGAACCGAGCCCCGAACAGGGAACGAGGGAAACTGGTTCAGCCCAACGCGCATCCCCAGCCACGGCACACAGATAACAGCAAATAGCTACAACTGGACAACACATGTCGCACCCCCGGCTGAACCAACCAAGTATCAAAAACCCAAGGACCCCTCCGGAAAACAGCTGTCTCAACCGTCGCCAGAAGGACAGAGAAAGGCTGCAAGCGTACAAACCTACCACCAGCATCAAAAGAGCAGCAACCTCTGCGCCGGAGGAAAGCCGGAAGCTCCCTGACCCGACCCACAGAGCCAACAAAGTATGGCCTTTGAAAAACAATCTTGAACCGAAGGGGCTACCACAAACTGAGGAGAGGAAGGATAAAAGGGCACCCTGATCAAGAACCAGGACGGCTCAGGCGGCGCATGAGCAGGCAGGAGGTGAAACAACACGAGAAGCGTACGGAACGGGGCAGATGTGACGTCCACCTCGAACGCCAGCCTGAGCAGCTCTGCCAGCATGGCACAATACGAGGCGACAGTAAGAAGCATCAATTAACAGTCCTGAAAACTCAAGAATGGACAAGACAACCCAATGTGAAAGAGAAGACAACCTATGAAGAGCAAGAAAAAGGTGCATAGAAACACCAGGCACGTCATACTGTCACCGAGACGAAGCTCGCAGGTAGGACACCATCAACAAAGCCACCTGATCAGCACAGAGATGGTGATACCCGCGTCAAAATACCAGATGCGAAGAGCCGAGGAAAAGGCCGAACCAGTCACGTACAGGACCGGTCCGACCTGCCGAAAGAGGCGGAGCCACGGGAAAACGCCCCGGGTTCGGACACCTATCAAGCAGCGTCTGAAAAGAAAGCTGGGCCGGCCACCAAGGGACCATGAGAACTTCTCTCTCTGGGAATGGGCTCCAACCCATTGGGCGCTGGGGGAGCAGCTTGCTTTGTTGACTCTTGCATAGTCCCGCAGTTAGTGGGCACTTTTGGTTGTCTTCCAGCCTCTGGTGGCGGTGGCGGAGGGCTTCTCTCCCTTTGGGGGGTTCAGGGCTGGCGGGGTGGGCTTCTTTTCCTGCGCTTCGTCATGTCATCTTAGTTGGTGCATTGGACGTGGTCGATCCACCCCATCCTTCTGCAGTTCCCGTCTGCTATATGCAGACACGGGCCTGGCAAATCTGTGGTTCTTCTGG